GTGCTTGTCTCGACAGCAGCGCGTCAATCCACGAGCAATTCCGACACGACAACTTCTCGATACACTGCCTGTCCTCGACTTTGATTACTGGGCATCAACCACCTCCAAGCACAAGGGCAGCGTTACCGGGGGAGATTTCGGCCGACGCTGTGTCGCGAAGGAACAAGCTCTCAGTAATCTGATTCTAGGATGCTCGGCAGACAGATATCTGACCAGCAAATGCGTTCATGATTGTCAATACACGCGTTGCATCAAACGGGTTACGAGCGTTTCGTAGCCCTTTTCGTTGTATGTGCTTCACCGTACCTATAATCGATAACGCCGGAAGTTTTTAGTCTTAATACGCGTCAGATGCCGATGCACATCTAGTAACAATCCGAAGCACCTCAGACTTGGGCATCTTGAACTGAAACAAAGTATCTAGACTGCAGCGTTGGTGCCAAGACCTGGAGAGCGATATCACCGATGAGATCAGGGTATATAAAGGTAGGCTACCTACTCTCACTTCCTTTCTTGAAGCTGACGGCGCCTGATGGGTACAGAGTCGTTCATGCCTACGACGAGGCAAGAGGGAGAGCAGTCTGAGTACATGGAGACCCGAATCTTTCGTGCGTTAAGGAGCGAGCAGAGTCAAGACAAATGTATAGGATGAATGGTGTAATAATGTAAACAATGAAATGGAGATATCACGTAGTAAAATGTTCACCAAAAGTCGGAACGAGTAGGAGATATTGATATGTATTACACGGATACCTTTTTCTGAGACCCAATATCGGGATGCCGTCGCAGACGTTGCCAAAGGTTCCGTAGCGACCCCACCCTCGGCTGGTCTTCATCCAGAGCGAGATTTTCAAGTGGCAAGACTTTCCGTGTCACGGTTGGCCCAGGCTCAGAACTAAGTCCATAATCTCCCATGCAGTCTCCATCAACAAATGCCCTGAAGTCTGAGATGGTACGAGCGTGGTTCTCCTTGAAGGTTTGCAATTCATAGTACGTACCAATAGTATCCAGGTCCTTCAAGTGCTCGGTCCAAGTCGGGTCCAAGTCATCTCTTCGCAGTAGCGCGAGACGACGAAGGTTGTAGGTATCGTCACATAGAACGTAAATCACCCAAACGGTGAGGAGATTCGCAAGCTGGAACAAGTATGCCCTGGCCCAATGAAAGATCTCACGGTCCAATGTATCAGACTCGAGACCAGTGATAAAGGCACTGAGGACTGTTTGCAACGGTATTCGGGACTGTACTATTCTTCGTAGTACGAGTCTTGTTGCTACACCGCGTGAACTGATTATCCGGTCAAGGAGACGCTCCGAAATGATATAAGCAAAGGTTTCGTTTATGACATGGGGGAACTGGAGGAAATAAAGAACAAGTTGAAGTTCAGGTGAAGCACCATAGGAAAGAGAGTTGTCATGTTGAGATGTTAATGGATCATCCTGGAAAGCAATCCAGACAAAGTTGGAAGCCATGGCTGGTGTACACCAGTCCTCAGAAATAAACCGAGGACGTCGGAACGTGGATTTGAGTATTTGAAGAAAGAGCATCAATGCGACACGCTGATCCTTGCTTCGCATCCAGGCAGTGTCACCAAATTTGTCAGAGGAAACCATCATATACAGGACCTTTAATACTGCGTGTCGATTGCAATCCAGTTCGAAAGAAGGTGTATTGCCCCCCAATGCAGGGCCGTCATGCAACCGTAATGAATCGACGCCCACGTACACTCCGATGTGTCGAATAATCATGATGAAAAGGCTATCGATCGATGGATCAGTGATGGTCACCCTTTGGACAGAATGTGAGGCGGCCATCGTCAACAGCATGCGTAATCGTGGACCCGGAGGTGCGGGGAATTCATTAGTGGGATAAGGATGGAAAGTAATGTCGGCAGCATCTCTGAAACGCTGGTAGATGGCACCGGCGACATAGGGATACAGATAAGATTCAATGACCGACAGAAGAGATTCTGCACCATCTCTTAAATCAGAGGGCAAACAGATCTTCAATCCATTTTTTGCCAAGAAAAGAGGTGGGGGGATGTAGTCAGCGTGCCAATAGCGTGAGGGAATAGCATGGAATAAAGGTTGGATCAGGGTATCTTCTGGATCAGAGGTTATGAGTCTCCGAAGCAGGTGTCCCCATACAATGGGCTGCAGAAGAAGCCGCTTATCTTCAGATGGTCTGAACTGAGTTTCCACTAGATGTCGGATTGTGGGGATACATTCGGGATAGCCCGGGCAGGCAACAACAGCCAAAGCCTCTGCATAGACATCCTGGGACCATCTTTCGCGTCCCGCTTCTGCGTCTGGGAAAGTCCACGCTGGCCCAGATTGTTCACCATCCATGACAAGACGAAGGCTTGCGCGAGCAAGGCGATCAACGATGCGTTCCTGCCAAGGGCCCATGTTCCAGATGAAAGTTTCGCACATGTCCGATATTCCTTTTGCATGCTGCTTTAGAGGCTCCACGGATGACAGCGGTAAAGCACTGGTTGATTGTACAACGATGCTCTGTACGCTGGGGTTGGTGGACATGTTAAAGAGCCAGGCCAGTGCATGTACATCCATCTCATCCGCGTTGATCTCTACAACTGCACGTTCAGCGTCTCGGAGTGTTCTGATGGAAGACGACTCCGGCGGCTCGTCCTGAGGCTCGTCCGTCTGAACTGAAGGCGGCGGTACACAAAATCTGGAAATCGCAGATGCGAAGAAGGGATGACAGGTGATGTACATATAGAGGAGGAAGGCATACTGCGACAGCGGTGTCTTGTACGAGCATGAAGAGTACCAAATCGGAAGGAGGTTGGTGACAAAGTACGCCGCAAATGACATAAAACTGATGGCTCCAACGACAGATGCGATCGACACTTGTAACGGGATAAGGAAGATAACCAAACCGACTAGAAACACACCAAGCGACACGCTCAAGAGCACGGGTAACAACCCAATGATGAGACCTACACCCCACTGTTGCAGCCCCATATACCGGAATTGACGTATGTGACATCGTTCTCGGGGTGTCCCTGATGAAGCCCCTATGTACTGGTGTATCCACTGCTTTGTCAAGACGGCGAATAATGCGGTAGCGAGACTGAACGAGAGACTAGTGAACCACAGGCCATTTACCCAGGTATCAGATGTTGTGGGACGAAAGCTTGAGAAGGGAGTAAGATCTGAGCGAGGAATGTTGTTCACGAGGGAACCATTGGCCGCTGCACGCGTGACGTCGATGAGTTCGAAAAGAAGGGATGCGGTGACCTGGCTATAGTTGACTTGTAGGCTCTGGGATGTCTGAGTGACGAAAGTAGTGACTACGGCAGAGAAAAGACCAGCCTAATGGACCGTCAATGAAAGAATATGTTTGGATTACAGGCACCCACGAAAACCAGCAAAACATCTAATCCATCCCTCCATCCTTCCACCATCTCAATGTCAAATGCAGCGCACTCTTCAAGGTATGTTCTCCATACCCTGGCAGCAGGTCCCAGTTCTTCGTACCGCTTATCTTCGGGAAATTTCTGTTCGTAGTCGAATGGGTCATTTCCTTAATTTTCAATAAGTGTTGTTGCGATACTGAAGCAAAGGTTGATAACGCATACCTTTGACTAAATATCCGTGTGTCCTTATACCCATCAGTCCTCTAGTAGATTTTCTTCTTCTGCGGGACGAGTAGTAGGTCGAATTCTCGACCTCAGGCCCTTCGGGATGAGTGGCCCCTTCAGAGTATTTCTTCTCTCCTGTATTGTCGGCTATGGCAGAGGAAGGCATGGCCATGGAAGATGGTGCTATCAGGCAAGCATCGATAGGCGCCGTTACCCCATGTTGATTCTTGAAGGAAGCCTCGGAAAAGTCGGTCCGGAGCTCCGTTGCAGTGTTTTCTTTTTGAACCTGCGTGATGCATTGGCAATGATTTCATGGTACTCACCCTTCCCGCAATGCATCTTTATCCCTTTGGTCACTCTCCCTGAAAGGACGGTAGCATATGCTGCTTCGGAGAGAACAATGCTCATTCCAACAGCAGCGCATGAATGCATGAGTAATTCTGATGCGACAATTGATGCCTGTCCTCAACTCCAAGCACGAGAGGGGATTTAGCCCTGACTCTGTGGGCGTCGGGCTGGGAAGGGGTAATGCCCAAATGCGTATCCTAGGTGAGTTCTTTTGCTCGCTGCATGACACGTACAACCATATTGTCCTCATGCAGTATTGTCCATTCCACCGTGTTTTGTCAAAGCTGCTCGTGCGCTCCGACTTTGCATGTCGAGTAACTCCTCCCCCACGCGTCCCGAATGGGTGGGGGATCCAGCTAACGAAGAGGTGAACAACCAGTCACGGTGACGTAGACTAAATAGGAGGTGAGGGAAGCTCCGAGTCGCTTTGTTTGACCCGACGCCAGCCAAACATTCAGTAAGTTTGGTCATCGACGCCCATCTCGCAAGCTGTCTCGTGCGCGATTGTATTCTATCGCCGTAGGCTGCGCACCAAACTTCTCCAAGTCTCGCGAAGCTTCGCCCCATGATCCTCCTTCTTGCCCTTCTCAACTGGTGGTGCTCCCATTTTCTTGATCTTGCGGAAGAGCACTGGCAGGGCATGTGTGAGGGCAGCAGTGGCGGGAGGCGGACAAGGACCCAGATTCTGGCCATTGCTTTGTACATGTACCTACGCAGACTGATTTCTCCGATCTAAATGAGAAGGAACCATCCAGAATCAAAATGGCTAGTATCAAAGACCAGGAGGTTGGGAAACTCCCTTGAGAGCTGCTTGCCAGGCCCAATACCTTTGATCCCAGGCCAATGTATTCTCAGTCGCGTTCCCACCACCGATATCATTTCTTTCTCCAGCTTTTTGAGAGTGGGGATGGGAGACTATTGAATTTTCGTGATTACATGTACAGTAACCTAATATGCCGAATAAAGCTCTGAACAACAGGCTTGTCCCCAACGTAGAAGAAAGCCACGACCACAGAAAGCCCAAGCAACCCAACCACCAGAAAACATATGTCAGCCATCCTTTCGTGATATGGTCGTAGCATCTAGGACTGTGAACCGATTGTACGCAAAACGAAAACGTGAACCAACCTGACCACCGATAACAGGTCCGACTAAAGGAGGGATGAGTTACCAGGAGAGGAATGGATGAAAGCAAACGCACCTGTTGTGCCGATCCCATACGCTAGATTGAAAGCCCCGTAGGCGTGGGCATCTAAATGCACAAGGTTAATCACAGAGAGCAAGAGAGCCACAGTTCGCGTACATCCAATACCGTCTATACTGCGTGCAATAGAAGCGAGCTCAACCGTCAACGGAGACAGGACCCCAGAATCAAAGAAAGCTGAAATCCATCAGCAAAAAATTGCAGCAACAGCCTCGGGTCACTGCTCACTGCTCACAAGCGTAAGCCGTGATAAACAACACCAGGCGTCCATCTATAACCATCACAACATACCACGGTACAGCCAGGATCAGAGTGACCATAATGACCACGGGTGAGGGAAGTGACGGTGTTGGATCTCCAGCCGGGACCGTTCAATGTGTAACTTTTCGAAATGGGGAAGGAGATCCAAAGGGATCCGTCTGGCGGCCACGCGACAAAGGTTCTGCAGCCTTGCCGCTTGTATCCTCTCGCGGTTTGCAGGAGTTTCTTCGAGCTGCTCGAGCTCGTCGTCAGGTATGGTCCACCCAGATCGGTAGTTTTCTTCTGGGAGAAGGGTAATGTGGAGGTACCCAATGAAGATGGGGAAATATGGAGAGGCATGGAATGTGCCCGATACGCTCAAACTGGGCTGTAGACGGTGCATGGACGTGGCTGAAAAGCCGGAAGGTGGCCCGAGGATAGAAGGTGTGGGATACGGCGCGTAGGACTGCGAGAGAAGCCGGGCGGCCGACCACTTTATCGACTATCAAGTCTCTGAGTTCCGATAGTAGCGTGTTCATGACGGGTGAATTGTAGGCTGCGACAATAGTATGAAACGGTCATGTCGAACATTTATATGATTCGGAGCTTCGATTAAATGAATTTCGGGCGCATAGACGTGGTACGAGTCACGTCCTAATTCAACACGATAGAGGCCGACGAGGCGCGCAGATACCCAGCAGTTCTCGCTTCTACCAATCACTTGAATATTAGTGAGGTCCACGATGCGACGTGCGAAGAAAGCCACTTACAAATATTAAGAAGCAAACAGGATCAGCTGAATATCTCTGGCTCTTCCCATATGACGTTGTAGATAGGTAGTGAGATAAGGTGGCTGCTGAGGTATGTTCGTATGCCAAAATTTGAGTGACGTGCTTCGTCTGCTGTGACAATTACTATGTGAGGCGACAACTATGTGGGGAATTTTCCGGTTTTGACTCACCACCATAAGCCTCGTTTCGTAAAAGCTATACCCAGATTCTTCGTAGCCAGCCTCTTCCTGAATGCTGGAACCTTCGTATATTCATATTGACTCTAGCTACAAAGGACTAGAAGTAGGGACCTGCAGGTCAGCAGATAAACACCTCTTTGCCCACTTTGTAACATCAGCCCTATGCCGACGACAACATCCAATGACGCAAGTTGCCAGCTTGAGGGAATTCCTGTACGAATCGACAACTTCCTTGGGCGTGTTGATAAACGCATGTCCAAAGTCAATGAAGACAACCTGGTTCAATGAAGGGCCGATCATGATATTCTCCGGGTTGAGATCACACAGAACGATATGACGTGCGCCGATTTCGAATATACCTTGCATCGCTGGGAAGTACTAGAGAGAGAGAGAGTATTGGATGACGAAGGAGACGTTCGGGGAAAAGACTCACGAGCTCTTTCAGTTTCTCCAGTAACTCATGATGTAGTTTCGGTTTCAATGGCGTAGTCATATGGGTGGGATACATGTCATGTAGCTGAGCAAGGGTCATGCCATCAATGTATTCGAGCACATTGACCCTGGTAGACTCTCCGTTAGGCAACGTCAACTGTGGTAAGTCATCAGCGATACAGCTCCGAGTCCATAAACATTCATTCAAAACGCACCCTGTGTTTCCCATAAAAATAGGGTACTATCCATCCTTGGATGTCTTGAAGCGAGTTATACACGAGCTCTTCGACGCAGGCTAATTGTCTGGGACACGAGTACTCGCTGAAAGGGTCTTGCCAGGTAGGCTGAGGAAACCGAAGGAGAGAAGCTTGGAACAGCTTGAGAACTACCTGCCCCCAAGAAGACTCAGGCTCAGGACTACCCTTCTTTCTCACTTCTGCAACCCAAATCTGAGACAGTCCGAGTTCGGGCTCGCATTGTATCGCATTTTTCAAAACAAACTGGAAATCACCACCTTGGAGAGCGAACTGGGGAAGTAAGCGGAACTTGGAATCTGTGCGAACAGCTTCGTGGCGGGGTGCGATGGTAATGTCAAAGGCGAGTCCGGGGTGCAGAGGGTTTTTGAAAGCGAGCTGGCGAAAGTGTGCGAGTTGACGACAGTGTTGTTCCACCTTTTTGGGATCGGAAGGGTTGAACTCGTATGGAAATAACGGGACGTAGCCGCGATACCATTCCAACCTCTCAGATACAGTGTTGGCCATCATGAAGTGTGTTCAAGTTGTCTTAGTTGAGTTCCTCGCGATCCGCTGTGACAACCACCACGTGACTATGCGACCGGTGGCAAGTAATTGGCCTGCTGGACCAGCTCGTTTTCTACTAGTACCATCGCCATAAAAGTTATACCCAGATTCTTCGTCGCTGGCCTCTCCCTGGACGCCAGGGCCTTCGTTCATCGTCAAAATTACAACGCCATCCATCGACGACAACTTTCTTCGCGCATTGGTTTTGGGGTACGTTCTCCATTTCTTTGTCTTCTAGCACATATAACCAACTTTCTCCAGCCCGAACACATCTAGACTCGTGACTATGACTGTGTCACTCGACGTCGGACGCATCCAGACCACCGATATCCACGACCTTTCCTTCTACAAGAAGCCTCTATCGGAAGTAAAGACTCCTCGTTCCAGGTCGATTACGCCACAGATGTACTGAACAAGTCGTCAGTCTTTCCTCCCTGGACGGGTGGATTCTTCTATTACCACCACCAGCATGACTCCTTGCCGGGGGAGGCCTTGCGAACGCGAGTGACACCAACATAAGCATGGACCATCTACTGCCCAATGGTCGATTCCACTGTGGTACATCGTATCTGCTCCCAAGTATGAGAATCATCTGCGAAAGCTCATCGTAGACGGTTTAGTAAGCACTGAGCAGGTAAAGAGATACAAGTGGATGTTTCCCGTTTCGCAGGAGGAGGGCGACGGTGCTGATGAGGTGGAACGACGTGATTGCCGTGCCTCTTGATGTGAAGCACATCAAACTGTGGATAGCCGGGGAGAAGGCGAAGAAAGAGTTCGTGTTGCTAACGGAGAGGATTTTGAGCCAGTATGTAGGGGAATCGACGGGTACGCGTCTTTATCCCATCTGTCGTAATAGTTGCCAATGTGGGAGCCAAGCCGTGTACACGCCCGTATCGAACAGGATCCAATCCGCAAGGTGGAATCGGTGCGAACAGCTTCGCAGCGGGGTGCGATGGTAATGTCAAAGGCGAGTCCGGGGTGCAGAGGGTTTTTGAAAGCGAGCTGGCGGAAGTGTGCGAGTTGACGACAGTATTGTTTCACCTTTTTGGGATCAGAAGGGTCGAATTCGTATGGAAATAGCGGGACGTAGCCGCGATAACCATTCCATCTCAGATACAGTGTCGGCCATTAGTTCAAGCTGAGCTCCTCGAGATCCGACGCTGTGACAACTGCCACGTGACTGGTGACAAGTATCAGACCCGGACCGGCTCGTTTTCTACTAGTACCATCCACGCATTTATCACTCTGTAAAGCCATTGCAGCGTGACAGCCATATTTCTTGACCCTTCGTTATCCCGGGTCGACATCATCTGCAGCTGATGTCAGCGAGCGCAGCTGGTCTGCGACGATCAGGATTACGGTAGTCGGAAGGATTCAGAGGGAATGTGCATATTCGCTGTCATTTCGGACTCATGCACTAGTAGATAATGTTGCTACGACTGTCATTACTTCTCACAACGAGCCATCGAGGTCGGTAGGAGTAGTTTACTTCTATTTACCTGAGCTGTATCAGCGGAGATGGCCAATCAATCCAGTTTTCCAAGTTATACCCAAATTCCTCGTCGTCGGCCTCTCCCTGGACGCCAGGGCCTTCGTTCATCGTCAAAATTACAGCGCCATCCATCGACGACAACTTTCTTCGCGCATTGGTTTTGAGGTACAGTCTCCATTTCTTTCTCTTCTCATCCATATAACCAACTTTTTCCAGCCCGAACACATCCAGACTACGGATCTCCACGACCTTCCCTTCTACAAGAAGCCTCGTAATCACACCATCAGAAGTAAAGACATCTCATTCCAGCACAGATGTACTGAATGAGTCGTCAAAGTATCTCGTCTTTCCTCCCCGGATGGAGGAATTCTTCTATTACCACAACTTGCCGAGGGAGGGTGCGATTACCGACACAGGCATGGATCATCTTCTGCCCAACGGTCAATTCTACTGTATCTGTTCCCAAGTATCGCAGACGGTTCAGTGAGCACTGAGCAGGTAACGAGATACAAGTGGATGTTTCCCGTTGCATGGGAGGGCAGCGGTTTTAATGAAGTGTTTGCCGTGCCTCTTGACACGAAGCCGGAAGAAAGAGATCGTGTTGCTGACGGAGAGGGATTTTGGGCCGGTATGCAGGGAATTCGATGGGTGCGTGCCTTTATTTTCTGTTGCTAAGCTGGGAGCCAGGCTGCGTACACGCCCGTATCGAACAGTGGAGAGATGCAAAAGGTGATGGGGGAGGTTCCCCTTGCTCTGAACTGTCATGTGAAGAGTAAACTGATATATTCGTCGATGTTTTGTGTGTACGGGCCACGCGAGGCATTGACAGATACCCATACAGACTGCAAGTCCTCGTCGTCAACCTCCATAACAGCGCAGCATCGCTACATGATCATGTCAGCGTACGGGAATGTGTGTTGTCGTCGCTGTTGGTCGACGCGCGTGTGGTTCTGCATAGGCAGCTTGATCTTAGAATCCAGATGGAATGATCGTATAGTAGACGCACGGTCTACTTCCCAAGGATACCACAAGAGTCGTCTTCAGCGTCGCCGTGAAAACGGGGGTCGCTGCGTTCCTTTCGTGCGTTCTGTCGCCAGCCAGGGCAACGATGCGGAAACTGCAGAGAACAGCCATTAGCAGAAACCAAAGGCCGAGGACGACGACACTCACCCCTCCATGACGGCAGTATCACAAGAAGGATGCGTATTCGTGTCGGCGCCAGACGAGGTAGGCGAGCGTCGTGCAAGGGAGAGGGATGTCATTCGGGCAGCATGCACATCCACACCGGATGGATGCAGGGTGTCGTGGTGCCGACGTGTCGTGTCGTGGTTGTTGGTGGGTGCGCGCACGCGTTCTGCGCTGCCGGGCATTATAATGAAAAACGGAATGAGTATACAGTTGACGCACCTTCAACATCCCAAACCTTCGTTTATAGTACCCTAACATAAAAAGGATTTGAGACATCGCCATGATGAGGCTACTTTCAGTCCGTCGACGCATGTACTGGTCACTGGGAGCCAAAATCGAGCGAACCATTCTGCTCAATTGAGCTGAGGAGAGACAATGACAAGTGAGATGTGAAAAGAAAAAGAGGCTAAGCGCTTACCATCGATGATGGTAGAGGCTCGCATATTTGGAAAGAGCGCGTCGAGTCAGGGTCAAATTCCCGTGAACGACCCCAACCTCTCGTACGAGGAATGGATGGGATGAGTGTCCGTGCATATGAGTTGATTAGAACCGCTGCTATCCTCTCTCCACAGCTACCGTCAAGCCCAGCTACGACAATGCTTAGTCAGAGAGGGCTACGGAAAGGTGAGCGCCCAGAGGAACTGACTCGTTACTAGTTGTTCCCCCCTGGATTTATTCAGCGACGTTGCAGATGAGAGTAGGCGAGGATGATTAACTGAAGAGGAGGATTTGGAGTGGTTCCCATCAAGTGAGTAGTAGGACATCGTTGATGGAGAACTTGTCCTAGGAGGGAAGGGCACTTGTTGCGCAAAGTTGTTGGGAGCGCATACGGGAAGGTGGTGGAAGAGGGAACACATCGTAGAAAGCCTGCTCCTGAAATCTCCCCCAGTGACGACGCTGCCCTAGGTGGTTAACACCCAGTAATCGAGGCGACGTATCGATAAGTCGTCACGACGGATTGATGTATTCTGAAACAGTGTATGCTGCCATCCTTTCAGGGAGATGTCACCGTGATAACGACTGTGGGAAGGCTGAGTGCCGTGGAGGTGGAATCATTGAGAATGGCAGCGATGGGAAGGTTGTGCGCGGGAGAAGCGACGTTCTGAGTGGGAGTGTTGCGCGTGAACGTCATGTTGAGGTCCCAGAAGCGTGGGAAAAGAACAGAGGCCCCGTTTCCGCTTTGATAAGTCCTCTCCCGCTCCCTCGACGTAGTTATTCGCCGACAGTTCACCGTGTCACCGAGGAAGCTCGCTTCGAACTGACATGCTTTCATCCGTAGAAACAAGGATAGATTTGTTGCGGAAAGCGAGTGCAGGTAAAGGCGGGGAAGTCGCGTCGTCCACCTTGATGGCACCCTTCCTGCAGTGCCATCTTCTCACGGCGGTGCATCCTGAAGAACGGTGACATACATCGGCGCGTCAAGGCACGAGCAATTCTGACATGACGACTTTCTGCCCATGGTATGCTCACCTTCGATCCCCCGATGCAAGATACAGAGAGTCGTAGTATCCACCAGGCATTTCGAGCCTGTTCTGATTTCCTCTGGGAGTGAAAGGTCGGAACAAGACACTGGTGTTATCCTGAGGTGTTTCAACGACAAGAAGTTGCAGTTGAAGAAGTCATATGGAAGACGTGGTGTGTCGTTCTCAGAAGGGGGCGCCGGTGATTCCTACGCTCGTTAGCTGGACCTCGAACCAGTACTTACCCTTTCCGCAGCGTCGTCTTTATCCCTTTCCCCAAAAGGACGACGACATACATCGCTTCAGGGTGCACGGCGACGCATGTCAGGTAGTATCCTTGACTCGTTTTCGCGACCTCCACTCCCGCTTACTACCTCCTTCGACTCGCCACCATTTTCCCTCTGCGTCAATTCTCTTGATTTCATTCTGACGCTGCGTCGTTCGCTTGAGACGGTCCGGAGAAAGCATTTTGCGACGTAGACTACTCCGACCCAGCACCTCCCTTCCTCGATTCAGTCCCTCCCCCGACCAATCGGGAGAGCCTACCCCGCCATCCGTTGACTTGTACACTCTCTGCATACACCATCCATGCGCTCCTCTTCCGCACGCTCTCATCCCGTGCACATCAGCCTGAGGGTGACTCAAGGAGGGAAATCGAGTGATGTTCGCGCTGGATATCAAGCAGGGTCACCGTGTCAAGTTGTCAACTCTTTGGTGGGATCGATAGGGTACTATTTCCCTTGTACAGTTACGGATTGGGAATCGCGTGTCTCATGTAATTGGTGAGGAAGGACATGTCGATTAGTTATACCTACCTACTCACATTCAACGCGTAGATAACCCCCTTGTTCATGTTGCAATGGGAGTAAATCGACGAGGAGTAGATCTCTGTCCTTCAAGAGCACTTGTCAGGACTTGCTGACCTTTGTTATCTTCACGTCTCCAAGTAGACGTCGCAAGATCAAACGGCGAGCCCAGAGAATCAACCTCGTGGAATGACGTAATGTCACTTCTGGCTCGATGACGTTGACGTCCTCCCATGTCCGTCGGCAGCTGTCCCGTTCTCTATCTGATGCGTCGCAGAACACGATATCCGAAATCGAATACCGGAACAACGTCGAGTTAAAGAAGCCAGTCGTTACGCCTCCGTGTTAACGGCTCTCATCTATTTTCTGTTTCACTGCCTTACCTCTCTGCTTCGGTCCCTCA